GGATTTATCGCAACTTTTCAGTTAAAAACCTTTTGTAAAGCGCGCAAAACTTAGAAATGAACTTAAAACCACGCGCGCAGTAACCATAGGAACTAGAAACATTTGATCTGCGGAAGTTGATTTGAAGTATTTTTCATAAGAATGTGCTTTGCAAAAATTTCCAACCTCTTTACCCGACAGCAACGAAAACTAAGCGAATCCCTTCGAAACATTGTAAACCGGTTGACATGAAGAGCAGCAAGTTAAGCCGTTGTTCCTATTACTAAGTCCAAAGTCATAACCTGCAAGGCCTTAAGATAGAGAAAAATGTCTGTCAAAGGGAGAAAAAACCTTACCGTCCAGATTAGCACTGTTTGTAGCGTTAGAAAACAACGATAAAAGCGAAAGTGCTATTATCGCAGTCACCCGCTTCATCTCTGATTTGTCTCCAAACTTTTTTTTCTCTCTCACGAAAAGCGCAACCTTGCTCTTGCCGCGAAAACGAAGTGAAGTAAAGATTGACGTTACAATAATTCTGTATGACGTAGGCCGTATGTCAACTGCGCGCGCGAGATGGTCGTTAAACTTGGTCCCACGCCCGGCTTTAGAGAGTTCAAGAGCGGCAACAAGATATAACATTCATATATCTTTTCGATAAAAAGCGGCTTGCGTTGATTTTAGATCGGAAATTTTTTCAGGTAATATTGATGGCCTGGTTATCATTTATTGTTCACACGCGTTTGAAAACCTAAGAGAGAAATTAAGAATTAATTAAGGTCGCAGTAAAGCAGTTTTTCCTTCTCTTTACTTTCCTTAATCCCGACCAGTTATTTTCTGTTGGTTCCCTACCTCTTTCTTTTCTTTCGCTCGCATAACGTCTTCGCTTCAGGCTTACACAGTGACGGCCTGGAAGCAGGTGCACTCCCCGTCCTAGGTATTGCCTGTTGAAGGAACCTGTAGCAGCTACGGTGAGCGATGGTACATGCGCTTAGGATTCATTTGATATTGGTTTTTATTAAAAAACTGGACCGAGAATTTTCATTGGCTTACCCATCATGGGTTGTGAGCCATTATACCATGCTCTAAGCGTTAACTCAAAATTAAAGCGGAGCCTAACCATTTTCCAGGATACAATTTATCTATATTTTGGGGTGTTTTTAATGAAACAATTATTCCACCCGCGCTTTTTGGATATGAATAAAGGGGGCAAGTTTCTAAAGAAACTGTGGTGCTGCGTCGGTGGGAGAGTATAACAGGGTGATTTAGCTGAGTTGATAAGGTAAATTGGCCACCGTAAAGAGTTTGAAAGCTGACGTTTCGAGTGTTAGCCCTTCGTCAGAGCGAGAATGAAGGGCTAACGCTCGAAACGTCAGCTTTTAAACTCTGTACGGTGGCCAATTTACGTTATCAACTCGGTTGATAATACTAAACTACCTTGTTAGATATGGGCTGGATTAAGACCATCTCGGCCCTACGGGACTCGTCGGCTATCAATCATTTCATATCCAAAGCACGCTCGTGGAATAATTGTTTAGAAGTCGTGCTCCGTTGCCCAACCCGCCACCATAGTCTCCAACAACTGCGCGCAGAAAATTCGGCAAATCAAAACCATCAATATTTACTGTTCCCCTTCCCTGTAGAAAACATATTTTCTGTAACTTCATGGGACTTGAGATGATAACTTAGATTTCTGACAATTTAAACGATCTATAAACTTGAAATATTTGTGTGTATGATCGCTTATTATGTAGGGTTTATTTTCTTCATCACGGAGGTGGTCTATCAATGCCAAAAGTATATCATGTGAAAGCTAAAACATCAAAGATCAGTCAATCATTATTTAATCATAAACAATGCTTGAGTATAGAATTGTTTTGTCAATCAGTGTATAACGCGGCCAATCAAAACGACTTTATACTGCCAGAAACTATTTAAAAACACCTGCCTGCCGTATGAAACCTTCATCGTGTGAGTAAGCAACTTTAATCACTTTCTAGAATTTTAAAAGTTTACTGAGTCAGAAGTTAAAACTATCTGGACGACATTTAACAGTTCTTCGCCAACACGCTTCCACAAAATGGTAAGTGGTAATTTGAGCATTACATTTCAAAGATAGATTCGTTTGATGTTTTTTACAACGAAAAATCTTGCGACAAGCGAAATTGTGATATCGTTATGAAACAGAGATCTGATGATTTCCATATGCGAACGTAACCATGTAACGTAGCTATTGTCAATGGTCGAACGACACACTGACGGCCATCAGTGATATAATTTCATGCACCTTTTCATTTCGAAAAACTTGGAAAATATTTGAAACATCCACCAAGTTTCTTTTGCATGAAAAACTAGGCGTTAAAAAAAGAGCGATTTTAACTTTACTCCCTCAACGCATGGATTACCTACAGATTCATTCAATTCCTAAAGTTTCAAATATATTATTTAGTCAACGTGATTAACGCAAAGAGAAATTAAAGCAGTGTGGAATAAACGCAAAGAGATTGCATGAAACTGTCCTACAGCACTAAGTATAGAATGAGCATTATGTAAAGATTTCCTCAAGGAAAAGAGAAAAACTATTAATTTTCAGGACAAATGAGATTTAATGTCCCCCACGTTAGTTCAGGTGATCTCCAGGGGATTTGCATGCGGTTATGCCTCAGCGGCACCATGTAGATGCAAAAGTCCTCTATAGTCAGGGGATGTTGGTTGTGTTACAAAAAATTTACCCGATCCCCCTTAGGGCTCTGCAGTATTCAAATGATCCTCCCTCATTGGCAGTTAATTTTCTGTACTCCTCCTTTAACTCTTTAACTCTCATGAGTGACCAAGACAGAATTTCTCCTCACAACATCAATACAATATCAACCAGATAAGTGATGAGTGATAAATTGCGCATTTAGTTTCCTATGCTTGAGAAAGCTAACCGTAAAAGTAATCAGAAATGTATCTTCATTTCTTGTTAGTTGTTCTTCTGCTGTCGTTTTTACAGGGATGATCTCTATTTCGTCTTTCTTTCTGGGCTCAAAATGCGAGGAACACCAAAGCAATTTTTAAACTGAACATAAGAAAACGCAGTCCTTTCAATAATTAATTTATCTAACTTCCCTCTAAATTAAATATCTGTTTCTATCTGTTTCTTACATAACTTGAATAGGGGTCGCGAGATTTCATCTTTTGCTCGGAAAAGGGTAAAAAAAAATGTCATTCATGAATAATGAGTAGTTCTTAGCTGAAATTAAGACTTTCAGTGTGAAGTATTGCGTTTCATGTTTTGTATTAAGTTTTATTACATAGCAGAGTTCGCAGTGCGCGCAGCAAGGCCCATATTTATTAAAAATGGTCTAATAAACATGACAAAGCATTGTTTTTGAGCAGGCTAGCTTTCTCCCTTGTCATCATAGTCAAAGACTCGCACGAAAATGATGAGCATTTATTTCAAGATATCACCATCTCTGTTTATCTGACTTGACTGACTTGAAATATTTATTAATGAGAAAGCCGTGAAAACTCTTGCGTTTTACTCAAGACCATTGAAAATTTAGAAATACTCGCTGGCGGCTCTTGTTTCTGAGCTCCTTTTGTTTTCTCGAATTCATGGGCTGAGTTCATCATTTCGCTGCAGCCGGATTTAAAACTAGCGAGAGTGTGTGTTTGGAACAGTAAAATTTGCACCCCATTTAGAATCCCTTAAAGAATAGTTAGATATTTCACTCCGATCACCTAACATTGATTTAAGATAATCAGGGGTAATAGCGTTGAGTATTTATGGTCCGTAGTTCTTTTTTAGAATTTTCGTCAAAGATCAAGTTTTTTCCACTCCCAAGTCTTACAAAAAGGTCATCAACGTTGGCGTCTTAGGAAGAAGAGGTCAAAAAACGCACAGTACGATTCGGTAGTTTTTGTAATTTAGTTGCGAGAGATTTATTGCAATTCCCCCATAAGAACTTGAATGAGGTTGAACTAAAGCATGATAGATGCATAGGAGCGTTTCAAATGGGACAAAGGACCTACTTCGCCTGGAGATGCCAATGCCAGAGGTTTTATTTTTTTTTAGATGTTTCGATATCAGTATATTCCAAGGCAAATTTTTATCTGTATATACACTAAGAGATCTTGTAAATGAAACTTGCTTTATAGAATTACTGTCAATAGTAAGACACAGGGGTTCATTAAAAGTATCCAACTTTCGCCTTGAAACTATCAACATGAACTCAGTCTTTGACTTATTAAGAGAGATGAATAAAGGGGTAAGTTTCTAAAGAAACTGTAGTCCTGCGTCGGTGGGAGAGTATTGCAGGTAATTTAGTGTTAACAACTGAGTTGAAAACGTAAATTGGTCACCGTAAAGAGTTAAAAGGCTACGTTAGCCATTCGTCAATCGCTCTGACAATAAATTCGTTTCTATTTCATGTAGCTTTGTTGTTATTGTTATTGTTGTTATATTTGTACCTAGATATTTGTATTACCCGTATTTATTTGTTTTTTCAGTCGAATCACGTCTACACATCTTAACATCCAACTGCACGTCTACCCGGCAAATAGTTTCAATATGCATTCATTATCCGACGTTAAAGGTGTAGTATTTATCTACAGGTGCGAATTTTTGGAAAAACCACAAAGTAAAGTATAGAACGATCAAACCAATCCCGAACTACTTTCAACTTTCAAATTTGCCACACTTTCGGGATACAGTCTCTTAGCTTCAACTTCTCCTGGAAAGGGCGTAATTTCATGTTAATGGCGGGAATAGAGATTACTCTGATTTATTGACCATAAGAACGCAGCCGTCGCTTTCAACACAATCAGACTATAAAGATAAACCGCTTTGAACAACTTTTAATGGAAGAAAACTCAAAAGCCACCACTTAAATGACATTTTCAATATCTCAAAACTGCATTTAACAGAATAACACAAAATCCAGGATTTTCACCGAGTCAACAGATTTTAAGATTCTTTTTTTTTTTTTTTTTTTTTTTTCATATTTGAGGCAACAAAACAAAGTAAACATAATTGGCGACTACCAGTCGTCAATTCTCTTCTTTTTCTTGTGCTTTCGTTTCGGCTGCCAAATTGGTTTCTGTGGTTTGGGTGGCATATTAGCGGCAGCCTTTCTGTCTTTGTACTCTTTCCTGCAAGAAATGACAAGCATAGAATAAGTAATGCTTATTGAAGTCAGATTTCCTCATTAATTCAGTTCAATATTTAACCGGTGTCTATTAACCGTAAATCTGACGCATGCGCGCAATGGACGGACTTTTGATCCAAAAGAGAACAGGTGACAACACTTCAAAGGCTCTGTTTTTACATCTGTGTAGCTTCGTGATAACAGCAGAATTTCTACTCATTGCTAAAAAATTTGAGCTGCATTTAATTGGGGTCGAATCCCTTGCAAATCATGATATTTGACACAGTTGTAGGAGCTACTTAGTGTTATACACATCTTAAAAACCTTCCGTTATATTTCTAAGTCGTAATTTTCAATTCGTTTCTATCTTATACATTCCAGTACTTTCTGTATCATTTTGTGTACTTTCTAGTCTCTTGCAGACGGCATTAGATTGAAGGTAATTTTCGCGTCAGAAAATTTACTCCAAATATCACGGGATGGCAACTGACTCATGGGAACTAATCACCTATTAGGGAGACCTCGCTCGTTTGGCTATTGATTTCAAACAAAATTATCTTAACCCTTTACACCATAACATTAGTATTCATATTTCCGCACGGTTCTCTTTAAATTTGCTATGGTACTGACAAGGAGAATTTGATTGACAACAAGGGGTTTCTAAAATGAGTGATCATTTCCTTTATTCTCATAACCTTTCTGTTTGATTTAAGGCTGATATTGTGAGGAGAAATTAGAGGCCAGCCACTCTCAGGGGTTAAAGAGTTATTCATTTTTTAAAAACAGTTATTTCGCAGGATATAACTTACCATTTCCGTCCGATGAATTTCACAGTTCGCACACATAACCGGTAAACGAGAAAAACAGCAACCAAAAGAGAAACATTGACGACCAAACCAGCGGAGAAAGCGTAGACGCCATCTTGCCAGGAAACAAAATCAAAGCGAGTTTGAATTTGTTTCACATGATCTGTTGGAAAAAAAGTTAATGTCATAGATAGTGAACAAAGAAAAGTTTCCAAAACTACACTGTAAAATTAAAAGAGTTGATTTGGCCCCGAAAATGGGGCCAAAACGAGTGAGTCCAGTTTGGCACTTGCTTAGGGTCAATTCGGCCCCATTGAAATGGGGCTGTTTTTGGCACCAATTTTGGGGCTGAATTGACCCCGTTGTAGGGGCCAAATTGGACCATGTGAAGGGTGAATTTGAAAAATACAGGGGCCACTTTGAAATTTCTAGGGGCCAAAACAGCCCCCGAAATTTCAGCCCTCTCACAAATGGCCCCTTTAAAAAGAGCCAATTCAGCTCCAATGTGGGCCACTTCAGAAGTAGAGGGCTCTTTCCTCTCCATGCTGATTTTCCCCCTTACATTCAAATAATGAAAATACACCACATACTTTATCTTTATAACACTCATTTATTAGGTTCTAGATATTGTTTATGTAAAAACCTTTTATGCTACCTGATTTTACAGTTATTAAGAATCTTAATTGTGGTATAAAACAGACAAACTTTGAAACATCATGTGAAAGAATATAACATACATACATATTTAACATTAATTCAACCATTTTCTAAAATAGATCTCTTCCCTAAATCAATATACTTCTTAACAGTGCAAGCATTGCAAGAAATTACACCCAAGAGACACTTGTGAGTAAAGCTTCCCTTTTCAATGACTTAGCAAATGTGGTAATGTAAAGCAGCTTATAATTAAGACTGATTTAAAGTACAGAAAATTATCAAAATAAGACAGAGGCAACAAATGGTCCAGTTCCTGCACAAGAATATAGATCTTGTTTGATTTGTGCATATGAAAAACAAAGAGCCTCAGAGCAGCATAGAGTATTCTTCCAGTGGGTGTGAGAATACATGCACTCATATTGCTACTTTAGATATTATCAAAATATAAACTATCAGCAAGTACTACCACAGGCATTTGCCAAGTCATTGAAAATAGAGGAAACAGTGACAAGAGTGTGCCTGTGCCCAATTTCAAGCAATGCTTGCTCTAAAAAAAGTCAAAATTGCCTTTGACCAATTGTAAGAAAATATAAATGAGCCAAGTAACCCAATGAGAGCATCAAGAATCTTTTCTTGTGAGAAGTGACAAATTACACTTCCCTCTGTTACTATATTCAGGTGATTGATGTATTGAAGATCTCCAACAATTAAAATTGGTGCTGGACATAATCTCTGATTGCTGAATCAACATCAGCTACTCTATACAATAAAAACAAGTTTTACAACCACATTAAAATCAAGCCAAAGTGCAAAAAGTGCCTGTAGCCAGAAAAAAAAAAAAGAATATATATACACACACTTAAGCTAAAGAATTAAAGAGGACGCATCAATTCTCTGTGACTGAGTTTTGTGCCTAAGTGCTTGTCAGACAGAAAAGTTCTGTCTGACATTTTGCAACTTTTTAGTTTAAGGCAAGAGATTCATCACCACAAAATTGTCTCTCTTCACTGTAAACAGAAGAGGTGAAGCAATAGATTTTTAGACCATACCAATCCATTCAGTTTCCAAGTCAACTTAGTCTAGTATCCTGCTAACCATACAAGGATACTATGCAATAATTTTTTTTTTGCAATCCACTGTTGCTCAGAGTACTTTAGGCTGCTAATGAGATATCCCTTCTGGGTATCCAACTCTACTGAGGTAGAGAACTGTACAAAAAAACAAACAAACGAGCAAATTAATTTGTTGTTGGAGAACAGTAAATTTTTGCAACTACAAAGTTGCAAAATATTTGTAAGCAAACTGTGCATAGGAAGTAAAAACACACTAATGGTGATCATCAATGATGTATTTTCACCAAACTGTATATGTACTTATCAAGAAAAGAAATCATACCTCTATGCACTTCAGTTTTAGTTCAGTATTCATGAATAAATAAGGATTGCTTGTAGACTTAAAAAACAAAACAAAGAAAAGTTTCTTACCCTCGATGGTAGTTGGAATTTTGAAAGCCATTCAAGAGGAACCTGTAGGTAAATATTTGTTTTCAAAAAAATTAAACTGTCCGATAACATCCTATCAATTCACTAATTTTTTAATTTACCAGATTTAAAAATTGGGTTTACTTTGTTTTATGCATGGTGCAAGTAAATATATATCTAATATATTTCAATAAAAATAAAGCAAATCTCGCCATTTTTGTAGGGTGCAATCCCGAGATAGATTTGTCATCTTTAACTGATCAACTGGCACCTTGTGTGTTTTCCTTTAGGATATAATCGAAAGAAAGTAATCGATAATGTACTCTTCACCATCCTGCTAAGTTTAAATATACAAGAACTTACTTAGACAGTGCTCAGTTCTGTCGCCTCGTCCGTAAAACAGAGATCCTTGGGCGATTTACCCTTTTCTTTCGGTGCCAATGTCACCTCTAAATTTTCATAATCGCTGATGTTATCTGAATCATCAATCGACGTTTGAACCGTCTTACTCGAAGGACTTGATTCTGCACGCTGAAAGAGTGAGAGCCAAAAAATCAGCTTAAGTGGATGCAAACAAAGACATAGACATAAAAATATCAGTTCATCTTTTCAAGAAAGAGATTAAGAATTTAGAGTGGGAGATCCTTAAATCAGAGAATCTTGAAATAAGTTAAATCCATCTTGTGCAAATGCAGTATTCGAACTGTAACCGTCTCTATCTCTCGCCGCCAAAATTTGATCACGTGACTTTAGTTGCGAAACCGCTGAGACTCAAAAAGACTCGGGAGAAGAGGCGAACCATTCATGCGTCAAATTCTCTGGTGGGAAAATTAATTATCGTACCGACGAAGAACTCGTGTCATCTCTAGGTTCAGCGTTCATTGCAATCAATTTCTTGAGCTTTAGACGCTCTTTTATAATAGGGATGTAGTGCCTTACGTCTGCATCTTGGGCGATGGCAAGGAGATCTTGGCCATCGCAACCGTCTTTTTCTGCAAGATAAGATACGAACAAAGATCAATGGAGCGGTCAAGTTTGTGAATGTAAAGTTGCAGTAAAATACGTTGTTAAGAAATTTCTTTTGCCTACCTTTCCTTTCTTAAGTCTCATTCCATGCGACTGTAGCCAAGAAACAGCCTCTTCAGTGACGAATTCGCTGCTATAATTCATTATTGTTTCCGACGCACGTTGTCTAGGTTCGACTAATGCCATCACAGGCAGCTCACGCTCACGTCTCGAGAAAAAGCCAACGATTAATTCGTTGTGTGACTCGGTGTTCAGTTACGAGAGGAACACTTTATAAGGAATAGTATAGGGAACGAAATATGGTCGAAAAAAGAAAATTAATTTTATATTTTCTTTTTTTTTCAAAAATTGCACCTCGTTGGGGCCAAATTGGTCAATCCTACTTGGCTCTTGGAAGGGCCAAATTGAGAAAAAGTTCCAAAGTAGAATTCATAGGGGCCAATTCAGATTTTGGAGGGGTCGAAATGGTACCTGTCCCGCCCGTTTTGGCTCAAATAGTCCAAAACGAACCTTGATGGGCCAAACTGGCCCTCGAGAAATTGGGGCCAATTTGGCTTTTGGGGTCAATTTGGCTCTTTTCATTTTACAGTGTAGTAACCGCTCTTTTTTTTTAATCGAATGTACTAATTGTGGAATAAAATTGTGCAGCTGAAGAAGTAAAAAGAACTTAAGTCATCCTCTATAAATTGCATCGTATAGCCCGTGTAAAAGAAAATAGCTATGATAAATCCAGCTCAGCCGAAAGTGAGAAGTGAAATGATCTCTCTCTCTGCTGCCAGGCCAACTTGTGAAGTGGAAATTCAATTCTGAGCAGAGCTGACTTACCGTGTAAGAAACCAAAATATAAATCAACCGCAACATTAGTGATATAAGAGAAGACAGGCACAAATGGTTCAACAATCCACGTCACTCCGTAAATCATCATCTGGATCAGCTCAGCTGACTTATTTTGGACCATCTCGGCAAATAAATATGTCGCAGTTATGGTAAAATCCGCTAAGCACTGAAGTCCATTCCAGACCCTCTCAGCCAACCATCCAAGTCCATTCCATAAAATCCAAGCCAACCATTCCGTACAGTTCCATAACAATTTTCCAAGCCACCTCTTTGCTCCATTCCACGTCAAGTCTGAGAACCATTCGAATTTCTCCCGAGTCCAATTAACCGTTCCAATCCAGGTGTACTTAAGTCCATACCATACTTTTCCAATCACTACCCTTGCGACCATAATGCATTTCTTCCAAATCCCTGAGGTCATTTCCAACGTACCGTCACGCACCTGGGTCATTACTGACACTGTAAAGTTCCACATCCGAGATATCAATGCAGGAGTTGTAATCTCGAAAACCTCATGGTCAGAGCACGTCGTGTTTCTGAGATACTCAGGGATTTCCTTGCACTTGAAGATCTGACAATGATGATTTAGAGAAGTCATTGGCCATGTGAAATACGGAAGAGTAGTCCGGTTAGCTTAGTACTTTAAAACATAAAATATGAACGGAAAACGAAAGATAAAACGAACCATCAAGTCTAATACCTTTGAATGTTTAGGTCTGATGTAGCCATACGCTTTGCTGTTAACTTCAATGAAATCCTTTTCGTAAATCAACTTCAGTTCAACATCCATGGAGGGAATTTGTATCTTAACCGCAATCTGTTGTTCAAGACAAAAAAAACCTTCATATCGAAATGGCTGAAAATATTTTAACTCTGAAGATTTTTAAAAATTTATTCTAAATGCTGCAAGCACTAAAACATTGGTCCATGCAGCTGGATTTTCCTGGTTTCAAAACGACGCGCGAATCGCTGGTACCTATTTATACTTCCTGGTTGGTGAAAGACGCTGCAAGAGTTGTGCGTCTTTTCCGCGAAACAAGGTTTCAAAATTACAAATAGGATATTTGTTGGAACCGCATTTCTATGCAGCCAACGATAAGTATGCCTTAGAAATCTAAATTTCGGCAAACCTTGTTGTCCCATTTTGCAGTCATCATCATCATCTTGTGTTCGTTGAAATCATTCGGCTCTTGCCTCTCACTGACTCGAGTAAACATTTCTACGCAGAAAAAAATAAGTAATTTGGTACAATAGTGAATTGTATTAGTGTAGCGTAAAGTGACGTAGCGTATGTCCATGCAATGACTTGTTCAGTAACACTAAAAAAAAGCAAAATATAAAAAAAAAAAAAATAAATCTCTGCCGAAAATAAACATGTTTTATAAATTTCCATGGATTTTTAAAGCATGTTGAATTTCTTTCATTGTCGTGCACTTGCCGATTCTTTAAATTGACCAAGGCGCGTTCATTTTGAAAGAAACTTGAAAGGATTTAGCACAACTTTTAAGTTTAAAACCTTTTGTAAAGCGCGCAAAACTAAGAAATGAACTTAAAACCACGCGCGCAGTAACCATAGGAACTAGAAACATTTGATCTGCAGAGTGATTTGAAGTATTTTTCATAAGAATGTGCTTTGCAAAGATTTCCAACCTCTTTACTAGACAGCAACGAAAACTAAGCGAATCCCTTCGCAGCATTGTAAACCGGTTGACATGAAAAGCAGCAAGTTAAGCCGTTATTCCTATTACTAAGCCCAAAGTCATAACCTGCAAGGCTTTAAGATAGAGAAAAATGTTTGTCAAAGGGAGAAAAAACCTTACCGTCCAGATTAGCACTGTTTGTAGCGTTAGAAAACAACGATAAAAGCGAAAGCGCTATTATCGCAGTCACCCACTTCATCTCTGATTTGTCTCCAAACTTTTTTTTTCTCTCTCACGAAAAGCGCAACCTTGCTCTTGCCGCGAAAACGAAGTGAAGTAAAGATTGACGTTACAATAATTCTGTATGACGTAGGCCGCATGTCAACTGCGCGCGCGAGATGGTCGTTAAACTTGGTCCGACGCCCGGCTTTAGAGAGTTCTAGAGCGGCAACAAGATATAACATTCATATAGCTTTTCGATAAATAGCAGCCTGCTATGATTGTAGATCGGAAATTTTTTCAGGTAATACTGATGGCCTGATTTATTGTTCACACGCGTACGAAAACCTTAGAAAGAAATTAAGAATCAATTAAGGTCGCAGCAAAGCAGTTCTTCCTTCTCTTTACTTTCCTTAATCCCAACCAGTTATTTTCTGTTGGTTCCCTACCTCTTTCTTTTCTTTCGCTCGCATAACATCTTCGCTTCAGGCTTACACAGTGACGGCCTGGAAGCAGGTGCACTCCCCGCCCTAGGTATTGCTTGTTGAGGGAACCTGTAGCAGCTACGGTGAGCGATGGTACATGCGCTTAGGATTCATTTGATATTGGTTTTTATGATGCAATTCAAGAGTTTTCATAGGCTTACCCATCATGGGTTGGGAGCCATTATACCATTCTCTAAGCGTTAACTCAAAATTAAAGCGGAGCCAAAACATTTTCGAGGATTCAATTTATCTATATTTTGGGGTGTTTTTAATGAAACAATTATTCCACCCGCGCTTTTTGGATATGAATAAAGGGGGCAAGTTTCTAAAGAAACTGTGATGCCGCGTCGGTGGGAGAGTATAACAGGGTAATTTAGTACTACCAGCTGAGTTGATAACGTAAATTGGCCACCGTAAAGAGTTTGAAAGCTGACGTTTCGAGCGTTAGCCCTTCGTCAGAGCGAATAACGAAGGGCTAACGCTCGAAACGTCAGCTTTTAAACTCTTTACGGTGGCCAATTTACGTTATCAACTCGGTTGATAATACTAAATTACCTTGTTGGATATGGGCTGGATTATGACCAACTCGGCCCTACGAGACTCGTTGGCTATCAATCATTTCATATCCAAAGCACGCTCGTGGAATAATTGTTTAGAAGTCGTGCTCCGTCGCCCAACCCGCCACCATAGTCTCCAACAACTGCGCGCAAAAAATTCGGCAAATCAAAACCATGAATATTTACTCTTCCTCTTCCCTGTAGAAAACATATTTTCTGTAACTTCATGGGACTTGAGATGGTAACTTCGATTTCTGACAATTTAAACGATCTAAAAACTTGAAATATTTGTATGTATGATCGCTTATGATATAGGGCTTATTTTCTTCATCACGGAGGTGGTCTATCAGTGCCAAAAATATATCATGTGAAAGCTAAAACATCAAAGATCGGTTAATCATTATTTAATAATAAACAATGCTCGAGTATAGAATCGTTTTGTCAATCAATGTATAACGCGGCCAATCAAAACGACTTTATACTGCCAGAAACTATTTAAAAACACCTACCTGCCGTATGAAACCTTCATCGTGTGAGTAAGCAACTTTAATCACTTTCTAGAATTTTAAAAGTTTACTGAGTCAGAAGTTAAAACTATCTGGACGAAATTTAACAATTCTTCGCCAACACGCTTCCACAAAATGGTAAGTGGTTATTTGAGCATTACATTTCAAAGACAGATTCGTTTGATGTTGTTTACAACGAAAAATCTTGCGACAAGCGAAATTGTGATATCATTATGAAACACAGATCTGATGATTTCCATATGCGAACGTAACCATGTAACGTAGCTATTGTCAACGGTCGAACGACACACTGACGGCCATGATATAATTTCATGCACCTTTTCATTCCGAAAAACTTGGAAAATATTTGATACATCCACCAAGTTTCTTTTGCATGAAAAACTAGGTGTTCAAAAACGAGCCATTTTAACTTTACTCCCTCAACGCATGGACTACCTAGAGATTCATTCAACTCCTAAAGTTTCAAATAAATTATTAAGTCAAACTGATTAAAGCAGAGCGAAATTAAAGCAGTGTGGTATAAACGCAAAGAGATTGCATGAAACTGTCCTACAGCACTAAGTATAGATTGAGCATTATGTAAAGATTTCCTCAAGGAAAAGAGAAACACTGTTAATTTTCAGGACAAATGAGATTTAATGTCTCCCACGTTAGTTCAGGTGATATCCAGGGAATTTGCATGCGGTTATGCCTCAGCGGCACCATGTAGATGCAAAGGTCCTCTATAG